TGATTTTGGGGGTCCTGGGGGCGCTGCTTCGGGGTTGGTTCCAGCTCCCTGTGGGGTTTTTGAGAGGCCCCGGGGGTTTTGTGGAGCTGATTTGGGGGGTTCCAGGTGCCTGTGGGGCTCTGGGGTTTTTGGGGGGACTGGTTTGGAGGCTCTGGGGTTGTGGGGGGCTGGTTTGGGGGGTTTTTGGGGGGCTCGGGGCCCCCCTGCCCCCCGTGACCCCCTCCCTGCTCGCAGAAGAGGCTGAAGGCAGCGGAGGCCGACAGCAAACTGAAGCAAGTCTACATCCCCACCTAGTGAGTGGGGGGCTCTGGGGACCCCCTGCCGGGCCTGGGGGGGCACAGGAGACCCCCCCGGAGCCCCCCAAAATCCCCTGACCCCCTCCCCCCCCAAACTCCTTTCCTGCAGCACCAAACCCAACCCCAACCAGATCATCTCGGTGGGCTCCAAACCCGGCGTCAACGGGGCCGGGTTCCAGAAGGGGCTGAGCTGTGAAAGCTGCCACAGTCAGTGCGGTTTGGGGGGTCCTGGGGGGGTCCTGGGGGGGTTTGGGGGGTCCTGGGGGGGTCTGGGGGGTCCCGGGGGTCTCTGGGGTTTGGGGAACAGGAATTCGGGGGTTCCAGAAGGGGCTCCCTGGAGTTTGGGAGGGGTCTGGGATGGGGTCCCTGGAGTTTGAGGGGTCTTGGGAGGGTCCTTGGGTTTGATTTGGGGGAGCCCTGAGGGGGTTTAGGGGGTCTTGGGGAGTCTTTGGGAAACAGGAATTTGGGGGTTCCAGAAGGGACTCCCTGGCACTTGGGAGGGTCCTGGGGGTTTTGGGGGGTCCTGGGGCTCTTCAGGCTTTGGGGAGTGGGGGAAACCTGGGAGTGTCCCTGGGCTTTGGATTGAGGGGAGGGGGTCCCTGAGTCCCCCCTCAGCATCCCAGTCCCCCCAGTAAGCCCCAGTTGCCCTCCCCCAGCGTCCCAGTCCCCCCAGTGGTACGCCTGGGGCCCCCCCAACATGCAGTGCCGCCTCTGTGCCTCCTGCTGGATCTACTGGAAGAAATACGGGGGGCTCAAGACCCCCACCCAGCTGGAGGGGGTGACCCGCAGCGCCTCGGTGAGACCCCGGACCCCCAGAACCTCCTGGGACCCCCAAACCCCTCTGAGGGATCCCCAAAACCTCCTGGGACCCTCAAATTCCACTTATGGATCCCCGATTTCTCTCAGGGAGGAAAAGCTGCCTTTGAAATCCCCCAAATCCCCTTCAGAGTCCCCTAAACCTCCTTCAGAGTGCCCCAAATCCTCCTTAGAGACCCCAAATCCTCCTTAGAGACCCCAAATCCTCTAAGAGCCCCTGAAATTTTTCTGGGACCCCCCTAACACCCCAAATTGCACAGGAATCCAGCTCAGGGGTTACACCAGCAGATTCTGGGCTGGTTCGAGGGAGGATTTTGGGGTTGATATGAACCTCTCTGACCCCCCAAATCCCGCAGGAGCCGCACTCGCGGGGTCACCTGTCCCTGTACACCACCATGGGGTCTTTTAGGAGGGTTTTTGGGGTGATGGGATCCCCTCTAACCCCCCAAATTTTTCAGGAGCCGCACTCGCGGGGTCCCCATACACCACCAAGGGCTGTTCTGGGCTGGTTCTAGGGAGGATTTTGGGGTGATGGGAACCTCTCTGACCCCCCAAATTTTGCAGGGGCCCCACTCCCGGGGTCACCTGTTCTCATACACCACCAGGGGCTGTTCTGGGCTGGTTTTTGGGAGGATTTTGGGGTTGATATGAACCTCTCTGACCCCCCAAATTTTTCAGGAGCCGCACTCGCGGGGTCACCTGTCCCGGCCCGAGGCGCAGTCGCTGTCGCCGTACACGACGAGCGCCAGCCGGGCCAAGCTGCTGGCCAAGAACCGCCAGACGTTCCTGCTGCAAACCACGCGGCTGACGCGGCTCTCGCGCCGCCTGTGCCGGGACGTGCTGCAGCCACGGCGGGCGG